GAAAACTTGCAAATTCAGGTTCAAATCTGCACTTTGAAAAATTGCAAATCCAGGTTCAAACCTGCAATTTGAAAAATTTCAAATCTGGGTCCAAATCTACAATTTGAAAAGTTGCAGATCCAAATTCAAATCTGCACTTTGAAAACTTGCAAATTCAGGTTCAAATCTGCACTTTGGAAAATTGCAAATCTGGGTCCAAATCTACAATTCGAAACATTTCAAATGCAAGTTCAAATCTGCAACTCGAAAACTTGCAAATTCGGGTTCAAATCTACAATTTGCAACATTTCAAATCTGCAATTTGAAACATTTCAAACCCGCAATCTGCCCTCACAAGGCTCAGGCTTGGGGAGTTTGTCCTGCCCAGTAATTGCTGCACAAAAGACAGTGAGCAGCTCCCTTGCTCTTCCCTAACTACCTTCCTGAGTGCTTATTGAAGTCTGATTTCTTACTCCTCTGGGTCATCATTCATCAGCCCCCAGATCCCACCGGGAGAGCCCGGCCAGACCTCTCCACATCCCTCCTTGCCAGGGGCCATTCCTGACGGCCCCGTGAAATGGAAAATGTCTTCACAGCGACCCGGCGGGACGGGCCGCGGCCATAATACCCAAATAATCATTTGGCAAATTATCATAATTATCAATCAATCATCCCCGTGTGAACAATGTGCTCCTGAAGTATCAGATGGTTCCTGTGACCTGTAGCATTTTGGATATAATAATAAACCCGGGGAGATTTATGGCCCCATCCCGCTTGCCGCGTCTGCAGCGGCAAAACGCTCGTTGGGGTTTTGCTTTTGCTTTAAAGCTCAAAGCTTTCCCCATACCTGGGTTTCTTTTTTGCTCCTTGATGATTTTTTAAAAGGCCAAAATTTCTGGGCACACTCAGTTTTCTTTCACACACAGTTTTCAAAAATTCACTTTATTTTTAAAAAGAAATCCGCGTGATTTGCAAGTGCAGAATAACCGCGCTGCTTAAATTGCTTTTACTCCACAGCCTCATCAGCGTTATATTTACAGCTTCTAATATTTGGCAATGTAGGAATGAGGCCAGCCAGAGGAGGAGGGGGGAAAATTGGTTTTGTCTTCAGTTTTTGTTGTGTTTTGCACAATGCCAGATTGAATCCAACCCTTTTGAAGCCGATAGCATCTCCCGCTCCCCGTGCAGCACATTCTTGTTAATGGATAAATTCAAGCTCTCCAGAAAGTCAAAGAATAAATTTAAAGCCTTTTGCCAAATGCCTATCCTATTGGATTTTGATAAGACGGCTATTGAGCTTTAATAATGTCTTCTATCCTTTTTCAGCTGGCCCTTAACATGTCTCTTTATTTGTCCCTAAAGCCTCTTCAGCGATGCCTTTTTATTACAAGTCTCTCAGCTTGCTCTCAGGGGAGACAGGGTCGACAAGAGTGATAGATAGATAACTCTATAGATTATCTCCCACAGATGTTTTCTCTCCAGTAGCCCCTCAGGCTATTCCCTCTAAGTAAACAGAAACTAAATAGAGAGTCTACTGAAGAGAGAAGTCCCTGAGGTCCCTTGTCACCACGGTCAGAAAAACAGCCCGGCCCAGGGAGCCCTGCATACACACAGAGAATCCTACCCCAGCATTCTGGAGCCCCCATCCAAAGTGACCCTTGGAAGGGAGAAAAATGCATCAGCTTGAGGGGAAAAAAAATAAAAAAATGTGGTGTGTAATGGGCACAGGCCTTGCTGGAGGAAGCAGAAATCTTTCAGCTCAAAGTTAAAGGAAAATGACAACGGGGACAATGACACCAAGGTGTTTGCTCAGTTTATTAAATGCTTGGAAAATTCAGAGGGAGAGGACACTGAGCTGCTTTCTAAGCAAAATAAACAGAGTGCAGGGGTATGGGCTGGGAAAAAGACATTTGGGAGCAGGGGACAGTAAACCCACAGGTATTACTCGTATTTTTATCCCTGAGTGTCCTCATTCAGGTCACTAAAAGAACTAAAATAAGTGACTTTCCTGTTTTAATATTGCTTCCAGCACTGATGATTTAAAATTAAACAAACAAGATGAGGAGCTTGTGTGTATTTTTTTAAGTTAAACTAAATTTCAGCCAGCAAAGGTGATATAAGGAAAGCTTGTTAGGTATACACCTCATTTCAATCCATGGAGCAGCATAGACATATAAAATAATCCTGGATATGGGTCCTTCAATGACATTGAATTAGTCCTGTCAGACAATCACTAACAAAGAAATCAGCTTTGTGGTGTTAGTGGTCCCAGCAGAAATAACAGAAACATGAACCAAAAAATACTGGATATGGTGAGAAATACTTATTCTTTGTGCTCCAAGCCAAAAAAAATCGCTGTTTTCTTCGACTACAAAATAAGCTCTGCTGTGCTGCAGACTTTTCCCTGCCTTTCAGTTCATTAAAGTTATGTAAAAGAGTGGTTTTTCCCTGGGAGCTTAAGAGCAGAGATGATTCTGGGGTCAGTTTTAAGCAGAGTTTGCTTCATGCACATCTCCCTACACGTCTCACTGCCATCACCTTCCCTTCCCTGCTTTTTCCTGGTTTTACAGGTTTTTCTCTGCATTTTGGGATTTTTTTTTTTTTTTTTGCTCTTTCTAGTCCTTGTTAGTGCCCAATTCTGAACCTGGGATGCAGCAGTCAAAAGAGCCACTGAAATTATGGTCTCTTTGCTCCCCTCCCAGTTTAAATCAGGCCACCCACTCCAGTTACATTTGTCTTCAGTCACCTTCTCGCCACCAACTCATCTCTGAAGGAATAGGAATAAATTGAAGTCAAATCTCAACCATTGTGTCTTCAGGGATATGACAACTGAATGATTTAGAGAGGGCTGGAAAAGGAAATCTGCTCCCGAGAGGGTTTTGTGCCACTGGAGCCAAATGCCAGAGTGCTACTTTCCAAACAATTGAGAGATCCTACAAAAATTGTCCAGAGTGATTTCTCATTCTTTAGTTTTCATTTTCTCCTGACTGAAAAGCTGTCTCACAGTAGTCTTTTCACAAGCCATAAAGTTTAGACTTGAACTCTTTACCTTACTGCTCTGACCTCCTTTACCCCAGCTGTAAAACCCTACTGCCCATCCTTCAATAAATTTATCACCTCATAAACTCCCACTAGTGCTTCTCTACAATGCATTTAAAAGACGCAAATGGAAGGCCAGGCCTTCCCCCCTTGTCAAATATCACAATTGTCCAGTTTTATACCTGCTGCACGGGGAAATATTTAAGGACACGGCGTTTTCCAATGACCTGCGGTTTTTGTAACAATCCCCCTTGAAATAAAAGCACAAAGTTTAAATACAAACCCATGGGTTGAACATATAAAACTGCCAGACTCGTGTTTCCCTGCTTCACACAACTCCTGCTCTCTTTGGGGTGCTGCAGATCCTGGAGGTGGGGATGGAGAGGGTTCATTTGTGATATTGTAATTAAAGACTGAATAAGAATTAGCTGAGCTGTGGAGAATCCCCTCCATCCTTGTGGGAGCTGCGTGGGCATAATGAGGACCTGCCACCTTGTCACCACGTCTGTCCAGACAAAGGGATCCCACAGAGGCAGGGACAGACACCCCATGAGTTATGGGGGTGCCCAAGGTAAAAAGTTCAGCCGCAGGTCCCTGGCGAGGTCATGGGATGTTTCCTCTGAGTCTTGGAAATAAAACCTAATTTTTTATTTTTTAACAAGCCATACTGGACATGTGTCTAATCCCTTTTCCCAGCCTGTCTCTGGAGCCTGGCAAGGATTTTATTTCATTCTGGCAGAGGGAAGCAAGGGATTCCTTTTAGTTTCAAGAGCGGAGAAGCAGCAGGGCCTGAAGGATGAGCAGCAAAGGTTCAGCCTCAGAGATCTCCTGTCACGGACACATTTTATGAAAAATCCTTTCCTTAGGATTTTTCCTCCTGAGAAGCTGGGAGGCCTCAGGAACAAAATGTAAACATTGATTATCTGCTGCTGTGGAATGCAACAGGTGCATCTGTGATTGGTCTCATGTGGTTGTTTCTAATTAATGGCCAATCACAGCCCAGCTGGCTCAGACTCTCTGAGACACAAATCTTTATCATTCTTTATTTTTCTATTCTTAGCCAGCCTTCTGATTAAATGCTTTTTCCCGTTCTTTTAGTATAGTTTTAATATAATATATATGATAAACTAATAAATCAAGCCTTCTGAAACATGGAGTCAGATCCTCATCTCTTCCCTCATCCTCAGACCCCTGTGAACACCATCACAATTTCCCACTCCCAAAACTTTCACAAACAGGACAGTGAACATCCTTTATCAATAACTGCACATAAGAGTCACAACAGCTCCTTATTTCAGAGAGGACACACAAGCTGCAGCCATCGAGAGGCTCTAATCAAACCCAACTTGTGAAGCTTTAATCAGCAAAGCTGTTAACCAACAGATCCACATGGGACAAAACGTCATTTCAGTGTTCTGAGGGTAACCCAAACCCAAACAGCAGCCTGGCCACCCAAACGTGTCATGCTGAGCTCCAGTGGAGCCCAGTGCATTTTTACAGATTTTCTCTGCTCCAGCTGGAGCCCCACAATGTGATGAGAAGCCCCATTAATGCATCACATGGGCTCAAATTTATCCTTTCACAGACTTATTCCTTTTCCCTTGGACTTCACATCAGCCACATTTGATGCTGAAGTGACCTCCAAAAATTTAGCACTTCTAACAAAGGACCAACATTTTCTTTTACTGGAAAAGAGGTAAATGAGGTTTTTCGCTTTGGCCAGGCGGCTGTTTGTGTTGTAGCTGAGTCAAGGAACACCTCAAACTATTATTTTCTCTTTCATAATGATTGGAATCACAAAAAGACAGGAAAATACGCCAGCAGAACCACAACACTTAATCCAAAAAGGCAACAGCAAACACTGGAAAACTTTTACGATGTTATTGCCATCAACACCTTGGTTCAAAAGGGAGGGAAAATCTCCAGGTGCATTTCCAAGCCAGGGAATAAAACAACTCCCACAAGACTGAGCCATGTCCTACCTTTTTTATATTGCCCTCCTGGGAGGTCACCTCGGGATCAGTCAGTATTTGCTAAGGAAAAAACAGAATAAAAACAAAATTCAGTTGTCTTGCAGCTAAGAATGTTATAAAATAATAGAAATTTATATTGCTGTAATGAGGATGAGGGAGAGAATGAATAAATATTTTATTATTGATAATAATGGCCAAAACTCACAGCTGCACCCAGATGTTGGGGAAGTCTGATGGAGGGTTTTCAGCAGGACTGTAATTTAGATTTTTTTGTATATATATATCTCTCTAAATTACAGTTCTGCTGAAAACCCTCCATAATAATACTACAATTATAAATTATAATTTATAAGAAAGTGCAGGTTAAAGTAATATTTTATCTATATAAAATATTATTATAATTCATAATTATAATGTTCAATACTTATAATTAAGTATTGAACATTATAATTATACTATAATTATTAAAAATTAATATTTTAATAATATACAATTACATAATTCAGCACATTTTATTATATTTATTTAATTTAATTAATATTTAATTAATAGTTAATTACATAATTAATTTGCTAGCTTACTATAATTAATAATTTATATTTCTATTATAATTAATTATAATAATATATATCTATAAAATTACAAACAAAAACAAGCAAAAACAAACAAAAACAAATAAAAATAGAAACATTTTTATTTCTTTGTTTTATCTATTTTTGTTTTGTTGTATACATCCTTGGGAAAGCAAACTCTCTGTGGCACAATGATTAGTGAAATGGGGCCAAAATTTTTGTCTATTGACTTAAGGAGCTAGTCCTGCTGAATATAATAAATCTAACAGTGCAGTGATAATATTTGCATAGTTATGTGAATTAAAAAATATTATACATATATATATATATATTAAGGTTTTCTGCCACTTCTGTGAATAATTCCCTTAGCTTTGGCAGACAAGGATGGGTGTCGACAACAATGGCACTGAGGGAACAGGCACCCACAGGACCCAATTCTCAATTCTGTCCCAGGATTGATTCCCTCTGGAGCAGATCCTGGGATGCTCAGGCCCCCCCCCAGCGCTCCTTAATTCCCCCTCCAGCCGAGGTGTGGTGGAACAAGTCATTAAATCGCTGCTGCGCTCCACCTCAGATTAGCTGCAGGTCAGCAGGCATTCAGGGAGGTCAAGTACCTCAGCCCTGCATCCCCTGCATCCCCCTGCAGGGTACACAGGGACCTGATCCAGCCGCGAATTCCATCAGCTCCCGCAGCTCTGGGGGAGCTGAGGGGGCTGAGGACAGACAGACACCCAAGGACACACAAGGATGGGGGTGCTCAGGGTGGTCAGGGCTCCCCCAAGAGCTGGGGGAGGTGGTTTGGCTGCCAAAGAGCAGGCAAAACCTCCAAGGAGAGAGATGGATGTGGAAGGAAATGCCGGTTAAATTGGGGAAGGGGAGTTCAGGGGTGCTCAGGGGTGCTCGGGGCCCCCAGAGATGGAGAAGGTGATTTGGAAGGTGGTTCAGCTGCCAAAGAGTAGGCAAAACCTCCAAGGAGAGAGATGGATGTGGAAGGAAATGCAGGTTAAATTGGGGAAGGGGAGTTCAGGGAAGTTCAGGGAAGCTCAGGGGTGCTCAGGGGTGCTCAGGGGGCTTGGGCCTCCCCCAAGAGCTGGGGGAGATGGTCTGCGAGGTGGTTTGGGAGGTGGTTTGGCTGCCAAAGAGCAGGAAAAACCTCCAAGGAGAGAGATGGATGTGGAAGGAAAATGCAGGTTAAATTAGGGAAGGGATGTTGAGGGAAGTTCAGGGGTGCTCAGGGGTGCTCAGGGGTGCTCAGGGGTGCATGGGGCTCCCAGAGCTGGCGGAGATGATTTGGAAGGTGGTTCAGCTGCCAAAGAGCAGGAAAAACCTCCAGGAAGAGAGATGGATGTGGCACTAAAATGCAGGTTAAATTGAGGAAGGGATGTTCAGGGAAGTTCAGGAAAGTTCAGGGAAGTTCAGGGAAGGGAAGTTCAGGGAAGTTCAGGGAAGTTCAGTTCAAGGAAGTTCAAGGAGAGAAGTTCAGGGATGTTCAGGAAAGGAGAGAGGAGAGGAGAGGAGAGGAGAGGAGAGGAGAGGAGAGGAGAGGAGAGGAGAGGAGAGGAGAGGAGAGGAGAGGAGAGGAGAGGAGAGGAGAGGAGAGGAGAGGAGAGGAGAGGAGAGGCCCCAGTGCATTTTAGCAGCTGAGATTTTGGCACAGAGCTCCAGGCCTGCTTTGGCCATGCCCAGGTGAGCTCGACTGATTTACAAATTTCCAGCCCTTTGCCAAATCTCCAGCTCAGCTGCACTAACAAGAGGCTGTGTTTCCATGGGAAGAACCCCAAACCATTCCCTGCTTTACACCAGCTCTAATGGACATTGAAACTGCGGTTTCCAAAGTAGCTGAGAGCAAATAGGATCAAGAGGCAAATCCCAGAGCCATAAAAATTCTGTGTTCCTAGCCTGGAACACCCTGACATGACTGGAGTTAACATCTATCCTGCCTGTCCTAGATGTCACCAAGCTTCCAAGGAATGCTGACTGCTCCCAGTGTGTTCACCAGGAACCAACAATCCCCCAAAATTTTGGAGAATTAGACCATTGAACTATCAGAGCTGAAACAGAAATGCAAAACGATCCCAAAACATCCATGGGGATGAAGCTGCCTCCAAATGAAGACACCTCCCTGTAATTATTATTGCAAAAATAATAATCGCAAAAATAATAATTTTGGATACAATCAGAGAAGTGTGTGCAGTCAGAGTGTGTAATCCCCTGTCCAGCAGCACCATAAACGTGGAGGGGAAAGAAAACTCCAGTGAAGTGCAAATTGGGCTGTGGTGGAGCCCTGTATAAACAGGCTTAAGAGTCAGGAATTCCTGAGTCGGAATGGAGATGCCAACACAAGCTTCCTTTTGTTGGTTTGGACAGAGCTGTGCTCAAGGGGCAAGTTCCTTCTCTCAAACCCTTTTTTTCCCCCTTTTTAAAATTCAAAATAGCAGATCCTGAATTTCAAAGTTCTTAGAGAACAGGATTTCGGTGAAAATATTTCATCCATGTTCAAAAATGGTGATTTTGCTGAAAATCCTCTGCAGGATCTTGCTGCTCGTTTGGAGTATTTAAAAATGGCTGGGTTTTGGTATTTGGTGAAATCCCTTTTGAGTTCCCATTATTACAGAACTTTTGGGGGGAAAACCCCTCAATATCGCAAAGAATTTTAATTTTGATGGAACCATCTCCACACACAAACTATGAGAACGTGGACAAATAATGGTGAACATGCTGGTGGTGCTGCATGGCCTCGATGATCTTAAAAGTCTTTCCCAACTTTAATAATTCTGGGATTCTATGGGTGAAAAGGCATTTTAGCAGTAGTGGGAGAGCAGGAACTGGTTTAGATTAAATATTTCATCCTTTCTTTACACCTGATTTAAAAAAATATATATCCAAGGTGTTATTGTGGGCCAAGCTCTACCACAGACCATCTGCATTGGCTTGGACACATCCCAACGTCCTGAATGTCCCATTTTCCCACTCCGGCTGTGGGATGGCAGCTTGGGATGCTGTTGGCACCATCCACGTAAGGTGTCTGTGGAGGAGCAGAGGCCAGAATTCCAAACCTCCCCTTGCCCAGCCACTGCCAGGGCTCTGAATGAACCTTCAGAAACCTTTCTGGGAGCTGAAATTGGTGGCACCCAGAAACTGGTGGCAATTCCAATCAGGGAATTGGTGGCACACATCAATTGGTGGCAATTCCCACCAGGAATTGGTGGCACCCAGAAATTGGTGGCAATTCCAATCAGGGAATTGGTGGCACCCAGAAATTGGTGACAATTCTCACCAGGAATTGGTGGCACACATCAGTTGGTGACAGTTCCCACCAGGAATTGGTGGCACCAGGATCCTGCCCCAGTTACACCAGCTCGGGATGTGCTAGAATTTTCACAGAGCCCCCTGAGTGTACACTAAACATGTCAGGGAACACCATGTGATTCTTTTTGAAGAACAGTTTACAAGCTGGCATTCTCCAGCTGCAGTTAACCCTAATTTGATTACATTACTGAGACAGATCACAATGAGCTTATGTAAATAGTAACATTATCCATTCATTCCCCCAGGTCAGATAAATTGTCATTTAGGGGGGGAAGAAAAACCCCAACCCAAACTTCAATATGCATTCAGCAGGGCATGGTGCATCCAGCAAACTGAGGGTGACAGACTGGGACCTGCCCCTGCTGCATCTCTGGATTATCCCTCTAAAATCTGGATTTTAAAGGCATATTTCCATCTCTCCGGTCCCACACCTCACCTCCTCCCTTCCTTCATATGATATAATATATAATATATAATATATAATATATAATATATAATATATAATATATAATATTTCATACTTCATACTTCACACTTCATATTTCATATATATTACATATTATATATTACCTATTATATATTATATATATTATATATAATATACATTATATATATTTAAATATATAAAGGAAGGTCTTCTCCAAGAAAATATATATATATATATTTAAATATGTATATTCAAACACACCAACAACCCACAGAACCACAGCACTGATGTGCATCTGTAGAAAAAACAGATATGGGAAAAAACCCACAGAAAACCATTTCAGCACTTAAACATTCAGTCTTTCAGCCCTATTGTTAAAATACAGGAGGTTTATAGCATTTTCTGACCAACAATTTACCAAAATCTTTCTTTTTTTTCTGTAGTAAGCAAATCTTTGAGCCCTATTAACTTGAAATTTTCAATATCCTGCCTTGGGAATTTGAAGTGAATGTGCCTGGAATTGAGAGGGAAGGGAGGAAAGCTCTTCTCTGAGGGGAAGAATTTCCTCTCCTTGCTGCTGAGGGAAGGAGGATGAAGAGCACAGCTCTGACTGGCAAGGAACAAACCATGGGCTGAAAGGAGTGGAAAGAATAAAAAACCATTCAGTGCTAAAGGCAACCCCAGCACAATTGGGAACACTGGGGAGCAGCCAAGCTGTGGTTTGTGGCCCAGGAACAGCCTGCAGAGCCCTG